CAATTCATCCACACAACATGTACTTCAAAATGACCCTCAACCTCGTTCATTATACCGTTGTGTCAAGCGTTGCCCGTGACCCGGTGGCTTAGGAGTAGCGGTCACAACTAACATCCCGATGGTCCCGGGTTCGATGCCTGCTAACTCTATCTGATGAGATGTCATAACATCGAAACGACTCAAAGCAGCGCAGTGTTTTCGGGCGGGCAACACCTAATTTCTATTTGAATCAGTTACGGTCCGCTTGATCGAAAGCCCATGAACTGTAGAGGTTTACACAAACACTCCACTGTTTATCGAGAGCCGATATGGTCTCTGTCCACGTGAGTTTCTCCCGCAAGTTTATAGCATCAAATTTATGTCGACACTGTGAGCCGATGTACCAGATCAAAAGCATTAAAGGATCCTTTGTTTTCAGTGTCACGGATGGATGGAGACCTTGTAGCACAGAAATATATGCTGGAAAACTAATTTTCCATTCTTCTCAAAATTCTGCATTTGAGGTAACCGCAGAGTCAGTCCAGAACAGTGAAGCTAGCATGCAAAGACATCGGTAACACGCGACGCCAATTTGTTGTATCTCGAAAAATCAGCAGACCAGAGTAGCACCGGAACGTATGTATGGAGGAAACTGTCCGCACACACGCCAGGTACAATTAAATCGATAGAGGTTCACATTGCAACCAATCAAATGCAAGATCACATGATAGGCCAGCGAGTGCTAAATAGGAGCGTGAGTAGGATAAGCGAATCGAGGACGAAACAAAGCAAGCTATTTGAACACGACAGATGGTGAAACTGTTTCACACTTGGGGCTTGCATTATGCAAATCATCTTGTCTGCGGGAGTGGAAATTACTGTTCCGAATGACGTGTGGATGCAAGGACAAGCATTTGTTTTTACAATCGTAGGCTTCCTGCATCCCAGGCGCAAGGCAAAACCGACGCTTTTGCCAGCTGGACGAAACTGGGTGATGTAGCACCCACAGCACTTGCACGATGCAGCGTAGCGGAGGCACCCAGCAAAACTGGGCGGTCGATTTACACAAACGAACTCAGCACACACTTCGACACTCAGCGCCGATTGCCTAAGTGTATCATGAGATATCAATTTTTGCTATGACGATCGGAAATGAAAGATGAACCGAGAAACTCTACAGGATGTTGCATCTATTGTTTGACGATATATGCTATGCGGAATATCCTGAAGAAGAGGAGCGCAAATTGTACACTGTCATGCACTAGAGCAGTTTCTCGCGCTTTTTAAGTAGGTATCTTGGACGTTCTTAACTGGATACCCCTCAGGAGATACCTAGGAAACCTTCGCAACAACGTTTAGCAAACTGGTAGTGTATGCATCTGAACAGCAATTCATCCATCATCAAAGTAAAAGCAAGTCATTTCAGAGGAACTGGATACGTAAATGCACGTCCTTGAGGGACTGAAAGTGGAGAGCTCACAGGGAATCTCCTACCGCTGAAAAATAGATTGCATACCTGGCACAGCGGAATTTTGTGTGAAAATGCTCTGCTGCCTATCAGCATAAGCTAATAAAGCGATTCTGCACGAACAGCAAACTCTTATGGTTCACGGCATCCGGTTTCGGATTTACCTGTCACTGTGGCAAGCCACAGGACGCCTGCGCCTTCAGAGGGACCATGGATGTCCTGCGCTACATCACCTACAGTTCCATCCACACACCCCATATGCAATGTAAACCCGAAGGAATAAGACCGAGAGGCAGGTGGATGGGAGCCACGTTTCATCAACGGAGCCGGCACACACTCCTTCACAGGAAAACACAAGCGCGCTGGATTTGGGGAATCAAGCGCACACAAGGCGGTGGCTGGATCGTAGTCGGCTGCACACTGAGTGCATGTAACCGCTCATTGATCATAACACGGCCACAAGAACTGTGCACCCCGTCCCCTCCAGCATCGACAAACTGTCTCCTGGAGACAGTATGAACGAGGTAGTGGGTAATAGACAGGTAGGCACCTTATCAACATGCATATCAAGCGCAGCCACACCGGGGATATCAAACAACAGCCAACAAGTTGAAATATAATTATCCAATAATATATATATGCTAAAGCTTACGGCTATGCCGACATAACTTTGCTAAATTAGCATATGAATTAAGTTGGTTAGCAACGCATTTGCGTTAAGTACAAAATGTTCACAACTTATTCAAAGAAATGCCAAAAATGCGAAAAAGTCAATGAAGATAACCACAATTAGCATCAGCAACGTATGCAAGTTAGTGGATTATTCAGGTAGGCAGAACAAAGCAAATAAAATGGAATGAATTTTATCCAGCTTAAAAATACCTAGTTTAAGTCTACTTTGGTTTAGCCCCACTGCGATGAAGAAGCATCATGAATAGAATATCAGTCTCAGTAAATTTATACAACCATGCTAATGGCCTTCGTGTGATGCAGGGTGGAAACTCAGCAGCAGTTGCGTCTGACGGGTACATACGATCAGCAATGGACACTGCATATCTCTTACGGTTCGATTACTCACATACATTCCAGAGGACAACTAGCCTAATGACTCTCCCTGTTTCTACTGTCCCATCATCAGTTTTATCCAATATCACCTTCAATGCGGAAGCTGCGTTGAAGAAGTTGTTATCACTCTGTAGCTACAGTTCACCTGGACTCCATAATATTTGAACTAAGGCTCTTCAGGCAGCAGCCAGTGATTTGGCGGGGTGTGCTTATGCATGTTGGCAACAATTGGCTCATGTGTATTCAAACCCAACCTATCACTTCGGAACAAAAACGAAACTGGAAACACCATACAGTCTGTCACCAATCGGTATGGTACAGCGGATTTACACTGCACTACATGTACAACGCCAGTCATGGGAGTAGCGCCATAGACAATTTTAAAATCAAACTACACGGCTGTACATTTAGGAACAATTGCATATGACGAAAATGTGGTAAGCCATTGTAAGATCACAAGGCTACGACGCTCATGAGATAGAATGGCAGCTAAACCTATCGGGTATCTGTCATCCTTAATCAAAGAAAGTAAGATTGTATATAGTCTCGGAATGTGCGGAAGTTTTACCTCGAAGCGAATTATTACTGTTGTTGAATCTTCATCTAACATCTCCCGATTGTACGCTGGTTGCCGTTACTTCATTTCCTACGCATGGCATTATAACATCACTTCAATTTGTTTTCTCGTTCTTTCTGTGTTAAGTTAGCGACTCAGCCAATTTAGGGACGATGAACTGAGCCACTGCGATGTAAGTGATGGCAAACACACTTAGACCGACAGGAAAGAAGGAATTATCCAAACACCTTTCCGCACATTGAAAGGGAGACGAATGTGCCAAGACATAGTTTACTAGCGGGGACGTCTGCTACTGACGCTGCTAGAAAGGGGTAAGTTCAGTTATTTTCCGCGAAACAGGCGCATCGGCAAATAAACGAAAACCAATGGTCGATCTCATCATTCATGGCGAGCCCCAAGCCTACCACTTTGTGGATGTCCCAGATAGGAACGACATCATACGCGTGATATCAACTGACGGATGTACCGGGGTGGCTCTTAAAATTATTTCCACTCTAGAGTAATAGCGTAGGTTTTATGGTTGGTATGACTACTGCGGCACAGTAGCTGATGTGTTTCTCACCTCATGCTGACGTGTATAATGATGATGATGGTATGACCAACAGACGCCATAATATCAACTCGGATGACACCGTGGTCGTTAATTTAAATTATTATTTCTGCCATAAATAAGCACCCCATGGGATAGTGTACCATCATTTCAAGCATTGTATCTTCCGTAAGCCATTGTGCATCATTCAAACATGTTTTTCACCGAAGCTGCCTCTCGTAATTTCTGGTGTTCTCAGCACTTATTACTCCTATCAGTCCTATAGGTAGCACAGTTAAGGCACGCGTCAAAATGTGGCCTATCAGAAGGCTTGAACATGCAAAGCAGACATTCAGTCTATTCGACTGCACCTGTCATTTCAGCTAACTGTTCTACAGTTACGTCATGGTTGTGTTTAAACAATGTCGCAGTTTACCATCCGTGTGGAGTCTCGAAAATTGTAAAAACTGACATGCAATAGTCACAGAGGCCGAGTATGTTCGGCTCGCCATGTGAATCGATCGCTTTGTTGAGACTGGCTTTGCTATCTGTAACACAGCACCGCGCTTGCGTGAAGCTTTCAGATAAATTGCGCTGCAATGAATCTGTGAAGAAAAGAGCGGCTAGCTAAATACAACACCTTTAAAGTGCCACCACATCTGATTAGGAGTACAAAGCGGCAATCAATGATTTCACATTGGACCTTGTAAACCAAGGTTTAGAACTTGCGTCATTCACAATTCACGTGTGCAACTATTGATCCCTTCTTCAAACACGATAGGCGTGATCGTTTCGCCTGGATAAATAGGGGTGCACACTGCGCAACAAACCAGCGATTTGTGTGAGCGGACCACGTGTAGCCGCAGGATAGTTTTCACCACTATTTCTCTTACTACCCCGAAAACCCCGCTAAGGAAAGTCATAGTATCACCTCCACAATCGTCCGGATTTTTAACTTACCCCTTGATGAACTATGTAAGTTTGCTATTCTAAAGCGTGCTCACCTTTCTACTCCGAACCTTGCAGGGCCTGCGCTACCTTTGAAGACGCAGAAAGAATCGCTGCGCACATACGGGGAGTGGTTAATCTGAAGCCACAAATCGGCATCATTTGTGGAAGTGGTTTGGGTAAATTGGCAGATGTGGTGACAGAGAAGGTGGTGCTTGCGTACAGCTCCATCCCAGGATTCCCACAGGTCACTGGTGAGTCTAGATTTCTCTCTCTTCACACCATGGTATCAAGTGGTCGGTCATACTGGGAATCTGGTGTTTGGAAACATTTGCGGCAAGCCGGTTGTAGTTATGCAAGGGCGTTTTCATCAGTACGAGGGATATAGTGCCCGAGAAGTATGAATTCATCAATATGCTAACACTTTCTCCCAGATTGCACTGCCGTTGCGAGTGCTGAAGTTGCTTGAAGTGTCGACCTTGCTCATTAGTAATGCGGCCGGTGGCTTGAGCGCAAAGTTGAAGGTCGGCGATTTCGTTATGCTCAAAGATCACATCAGTCTGGCCGGGCTATCTTTGAACAACGTCCTGGTAGGCCCTAACGAGGACAAGTGAGTTCAAACAGAGAAATTTTAGCCATTGAATTCCATAGGTTTGGTCCACGATTCCCAGCCACGTCGGACGCCTACTGCCCGAAACTGCGAGAACTTATGAAGCAAACTGCATCAGAATGTGGCCTATCTCATAGGCTCCACGAGGGTGTGTATTTCCAAATCGGAGGTCCCACCTACGCAACCGACGCGGAGTGCAGGTTGATGATTACTGCTGGGGCGGATGTGGTCGGTATGTCTTAGCGAATTCTGAGTTTTCTCGAAAATCAACATGGTTTATGTGAACTACTTCAGTGTGTGTCCATAAGCTTTGTAAGCTCACACAGAAGTGTGCAATCCCGAGCTGAATGTCCAGAGCCTGGCTGTGATGTAGAGTATTACCTAGGCCCTCATCAATGCTTCATCATCACCATCAACTCTATGGATTCTGTCATTGTGATACTCATTTGCATTAACTCAACTGTCGTTGGCCTCATTTGTCCTTCAGGAATGAGCACCGTGCCTGAGGTACACATCGCACGTCACTGTGGGATAACGGTCTTCGCCATATCGTTGGTCACCGATCTATGCAACCCAGATATACATTCATCGACGGTGACAACACATGAGCAAGTGTTACAGGCTGCAAATGCCAGTGCAAACGATCTGGTGCGCCTTATAACCGAAATGATCCGACGTCTGTGATGAAAGCATGACTCTATCTGCTCGTTTGCTCAGTTATTCACAATAAATTTGTAATGCTTAAAAATCGTGTATTCTGCATTTTCTTGTTATATGGAGTTAATTGATAGAACTTACTATAAGCAAGTTTCTCGGGAATGGTATGAGCTTTAAGTCGTTAACCGATTGTCAGATTACACATTAACGCTTCTCCGTAAATTTTGGGCAGACGTATTCAGGTCCAGTACATTGTAAAATAATAAATACAGATGAACAGGTGCACCCCGAATAAATGTAAGGTCTTGATAGAGTAGTTGTTTATTACTGGTAAAATATACTTTAACAACGCGGGAGTTCTCGGTTAATTAGCAAGAACATAGGGCCAAAGGTAAACAACTACTTTCAGTTATTTATCCTCAGACTTGTACAATCCCTAATAGAAACTAACTGAGCGATTACATTCGATCCACTAATTTTAATTGAAATAGGGCACGTACCGGCCAGGTTCGTCAGCCGACTGACAATCTAGTCAACTGCATTTACACTTTCTAAGTTTGCGCTACTGGCTTCAGCGTCTTCCACTTTTGCAGACTAAGATAGCTGCAGAGCCAAGGTCAGTTAATACTGGAAGCGCATATCTGTACAACTTTTCAAGAAGTCATAAACCTTTCCTTTTATACCCTCAGACTTAAGGTGTTTTCAGTTCCTCGTACTTTAATAGTCAGGTTTGTGACCTCTTGTGTTATTCTCCATCGGCCATCCTGCTCTCTGGTCATTTTCCCTGGACTGCTTCAAGTTGCTACATCTTATTGCTTTGATTTATAAAGCCCATATCCAAATGCAGCGGCTTGTCTAGAGATCCTTTAGTCGATTCGATCATTTCTAGACATCTTGATGCCTGCAATGATTTTGCTTCTAAGATACTAACTGACCGATTTCATCCACTTCACAATGACCTTACCAAAACGCTCTCTTTGTCATCTCCTCTATCCAAATTCAGAATTTTATTCTTCCGCACGTCGTCGTATCGCAATACTGTTTTGTCTTATCTCTCATATTAGCTTGTTGACCCGGCAAAAGTCACAAACATGCTGCACGAGCGCTTGTTGCAGTAACAGTTCTGTCCTGGTGTTGCAGACTGCAGATACCGTGAGCGCATTGGACATAAGTCACGCACCAAGCAGAAGTCATGCATTAAAACTTGCGCACCTAATCGTCAGCCCTCGGTAGCTCAGTGGTAGAGCAGCAGACCGGAAATTCGTTGGACCGGGGTTCGATTCCGCGTCGGGGCACATTATTGTGTGTGTATTTGCATCGTGACTTCTACTTTCTATGGATGATAAATTCTCGGTCTACTCTGTCAGTGTCTAAAAGAAATCGTGCTACATAAGAAACAACTGACAAACAGTAAACGCATGCTTAGGCCTAAATGAATGTATGCTTTTGTCTGCTTGACAAGTTGGACACCTTTGATAATGCGTAATGAAGGGTTGATCTCTGTCAGTGAATATCGCTTATACTGGCCTGTTTCAAAAACTAACATGAGTTGGCACAGGTAAATGAACAACAATCAGTTTTGGCACAAGCGACTAATATTGTGGTAACTTAGAGAATAATCCGAAGTGCCTACCAAGTGGACTATGAGAATCACTGGAGAGCGAAACGTTTAGTGTGGAAGAGCACAGGCAGTCAAGAACCGAATTATCAGATTATGGGAACAGAGGAAGGTGATAGACGTCGAGCATAGAACAATAGCCTCCTGGATTTTGTGAACTTTTCATTCATTTTATGCTGCGCGCGGCACTAAGGTACTTCACAGATGAGGAGAAGTGCACCATCTCGCCATGGAAGCGCATTTCCGGGAAGTGCTTTCGAGGTGTTGATACAGTGCTCCTCTGTGTATTGAGGGACGATATCACTGCAGCGGATAGATACTGGGTTTTACCCCCTGAAAATACTACACTCTATGGGGCGTTTCAAGCTTATTTGTTTCATCAGGCAGATATAGCAAGCATCGAACCCGTGATCATTGGGATGTTCATTGGGACCTCTACCCGCTTAACCATCTGGTCAAGAGGTTTGGCCAAGCAGTCAGCACATTCAGGTGTTTATTTGTTTGCCAAGCTCGGCGATGCTTCAAAAATACTACATCTGAGAAAACTTCTATCTCAACAATCTCAATGGTAAACGATTAATAAGAACACCACTTTCATCCAGTTGCATGTAGTGTGGTCCCAGGCTGCTTAAAATGGTACTTCAGTCTGAAATAATGGCATCGCTCATCTTGAAACACTGAGCGAAGCACCACAAGATAAGACCGACAGAAGTTCGGTTAAAATCAGCAAGTGCATGCCATGGTTGGCTGACGGTTCATTCGGGTCAACTAACTCAGTGCATCATTCCGTTGTACAATTATGAAATAGAAATGACCCAGTGGCATCCACAACGTCTGATCGGTCAGGTCACTTTGTAACGACTATCAGGGCCAAAAGATCCACAGACAACCATGAAACCCGACAGATTCTCAAAGACCGACGGTTTCGCAAAAATGAACTGTTAGTCGCCCACCACTTATCCGCCAGTACAACTTCCAATTTTGATGCAGTATCGACCAACTCACTCTTGGCTACCGAGAAACCATCTTTTCTGTGCACCAACGGGCATTTACACGTCCTTGAGTTAGATGGCTTCAGATTTAGGCTCCAGAGTAACGAGATTTCGCAACGATCACCGAGACGTGGTCGAGCTCTGAGAGCCAGCAGTATTTCGAAACACTCCTTTAAGACAACAGATGATAGTGTGGCAAGAACTATTGGTTTTCCTGATTGTTGCTGCTTCAGTACATGATGCGCATTTTCTCCGTAACCAGTGTTAACGAGTCTTCCGACAAACTATGCTAGATAACGGAAGATTAAGGTAGCAGTTGCAGAAATTATGGTCCGGTTTTTTCACCACCACGTTAGAAGTTGATGGACGTCAAGTAACCGTACGAATTTTTCCAATATCCTCCAGAGTTCACTACAGTTAGTATTTCCAAGTATCGCCTATATGTACAAGTTGTTGATACCGCGTAATTGCTACTTTATGAGGACAGGGAGTGATTCTACTGTAATGTTGCCTTTATTTTGAAAGCTTTTTCTTTTATGCTGCTTGGCTGCTTCAGGTTGGGGGAGGAGAACCTGTCCACACAGATGAACGGTTTTGTATGAACCGTAAATCTCGAAACAGAATTTCGGGTAGCTGGTCAACTTATACCAGTACAGTGATACATTAACGTCAACAAATCAACATAAGTAAGTGGATGCGATTACTTATCGTAATCGGTCATTATTCTGTGCGGAACACTGCCTCCACCAGAACTTGCAGCCGTTTCAGAGGGTAGCCTTCCCATGATTTGTCTTATAATAGACTAAAGGACAAAGTCGAACGGTTGAGTGATCCGAACTACCAAGCGGCGCCCTATGACACACGGAGAGTGGTTTTACTTTGTTTATCTATACCAAACCGAGGGTGGCATTGGTTCTGGAGGGACAGTTTACGATATTCTGTAGCACAAAGCAAGTGACAAATGTGCTGTCGAATCGATTTAAGTCACTCGGAAAATATATAGAGAATAATCGGTTGTTCTATGACGGTCGTGATATACTCATCGTAAAAGGTCCCTGCTTGGAGTTTGTAACACGTTGGAGAAATATTGCATTTCGCAAGTAGGATTGAACGGTACACACATACATTTTGGCTTGCACCTCACGAATAAGCAGCTAATACATGGCCAGGTGACTCAAACTATCGATTTCGTTAATATGCACCAGAAAGATTTTGTTTAGATGATAACTTCACCTCCACGGCTTCGGTAAGAGCAACAGAGGTCGACTCGGTGACAGATGAAGCATTCTACCGATACCAGTGCACCATCCACCTTATGGTGCATCCAAGTCCCTTGCAGCGAAATGCTGCCCAGTTGCGAATATTCCCGGGAGTTTATGGCAATAGTTATTTCATCCATTTTCCCAGAAGATAACATATGTATGATGTAAGTAAGATGAGAATGTGCATACTTCTCTTTATTTGTTCCGAAGAGCAGATCTATATCATGTACGACACTTTCTCCTACAATTATTTAGTTTCTCCTAAATTCTTTTCAATCTACTTCTTATGACATGGCCATTGTAAAGGGCACAGCTTGCGAGCGCGACAACACAAAGCGAGTTCAAAATATAGCGGGTGTAGGTTAACATGACGACAATTACAAATGTTGAAAATGAAGCACGATCATTTGAATAAAGCTGAAAGTGTTTCGTAAGAATTCCATAAGAAGAAACCTTCCAAAATGTGTACATTTGTAGCCTCTACGGTAGTTGCAGGTTTGCAGCACGAGTCATACGACAATAGGGCTGGAAACTGTGAGGCGTATAAGAAGATTTTTTACTGGGTTACATCCCAAGAAGTGTACAGGTTAGGAAACGATGGCTTCCAGAAATAATAAAAACGCACGTCACTATCAGTTTACTCATCCGATGAAATTGACAGGAAAATGACCGAACAATATGCATCAGTAGCATAACCGCTAGCAGAACAACCGAAATACCCATCCGTATTACCAGTAGTGCACAGGTACGTCAACAATGTACCGTAGCCCTAATTGGTCCCGGACGATAGATCAGATATTCACCAAAAAAACGGTAGCCAGCCGACTCCACATGGGTCGACGTATATTCATAGGAAACGTTTGTGTGTCCAGATACCTTTCTAGCATCCGTCGCTCTCAAATGGATCTTTACAAAAGCGCAAGACCTTCTCTGTACATAGTCCGAACTTCGATCTCGGAACTTCATCATGACAACTCAGACATGGATGAGTGAAGTGTTTACTGTAGCACAGATCTCACTTACTAGTATCTCGGTATGGCGCAACGACCGACCCAATAAGGAAGGCGGTGTTCTTCTGTACTATCGTTTAGACCTACACGTCGGCAACGCTATGGAACGAGGGGTTTAAGCTGTAGACACGTTTTGGATTCGCTTGCGCCTAAGGTATGGTAGTGTATGTATAGCGCCTACTGTATACCGCCCAACAGGCTGATATGTC